GCATGACCAGCCCCATCTGGTAAGTGCTTCATATCAGTATGTAGGTTAATCCCAGGGGCCTCAACCACTTACTAAATGGGGTGGTCAGCCATGTAGACCTATTGAAACACCCTCTAAAAGCATCACTGATGCCCAATGAACCCATTACCCTCCTGTTCACCAACATGGAACCTATGATAGGGGCCATCTTAAAGGAACATGGTCTTCTAGGACCCCTGAGTCAGGTTCCCTGTTACTGGACAGGAGGTTATGCACAGAGACCAGTTTCGTCCTCGCAGCCAGGGTCGTCCACTTGCAGCGCGCGGTGCTTGCTGGACCAGTCCTCCACCAGCGCCTGACAAATTGCCGAATCTGAGGTGAACTTTGACCCCGAACACTTCTGGATGTCTCTTTTTTCAGGGTGCCCTTTGTGGGGTTGGTTTCAAGAGAGGCTAAGAGGAAGCTGGCGATTCATGCATACGGGCCGATGGCAGCAACGCAGTACGATATCTCACTGGTTCCCGTAAGCGCGACATCGGGAGGGCACCCCTTGAGGTCAGACCGCCCTGGCCGATATCTGCATGTTCCTTGAGTGGCACCATGGCTGCCATTTGCTTAAGCCCCCTGGAAAAAAAGTCCAGTAGTGATAAATTCCCTTTAAAACCAACAGGGGAAATATTCTTAAGCAAATGGAAGATGACGCCACCAATGTACTCCTCGGCCAGCGCCTGTTCGGCTCAGACCTCCCGCTCAGGCCTCCCGCTCCGCCCGCGCAAAAATGAAACGAGCGTATGTCACAAGCGGTCCTGTGCCAAACAGGCTCTCCGCGTGTCCCACGCGAGCGACTAGATCATTTCACACACGTGCCTGTTCCAGGAGCGTGTGGGAGGTCCCCTATTTTGAAACAAAGCGCTATGTAGGTATAGAAGAAACTATGCACTTTGCGAATCCTGTCGGGTCAAACAGAGATCAATTTAAATTTTCAGGGGACATGGCAGGCGATGTTTTTGGGGACATTTAGCGTTTCCCCCGATGTCCCTCCCAAATGGAGCATAGGCTACCGGACATGTTAATTTAATCAAACCTCATGTGAGTCATAATCAAAGCCCGGTGTTAACATGGTCTATCCAGAACCATGCTTCAAGCATTAAGAAGGCGGATATCCGCAGCTACTTATGGCAAGGGGATTGTCCCTTGCTAACTTACTAACTTTCATCTACTCGGGTTTTGAGGACGTGGCTCATTTTCGGATGCTTTGCTCAGGCTATAGACGGGAGACCTCCTGAGCTCTGCTGCCCTCAGATGATCCGCTCAAAGTGACTAACTTTTAGTGGGTTAAATGGAAACTACCACTAAGCACTAAAAGGCTAAAAAAGCTGGAGCCACCAAGTGTTGAGGGTACTCCGTATTTGTGGTGGTTTCAAAGGAAACCCACAAGAACAAGCACCACTTGATTGATCCGCAGTGGATGCCTGGGAGCCACCAAGTGAACTGGGGTCGCTTCGCGAAAACCGCGGCCTCTAGCTCCGTCAGCTGCCGCTGCCGATCCCGAAGCTCCACCTGCCAGCGAAAAGCGAAGGCGAAGGCGAGGCGAAGCGCGGGTCCGATTTGTTGGAAAATCCCAGTGGGCCAAATCAGGTTCAGAGCATGCGCGGTTTTGGAGAATAGCAGCTGCATTTCAATTTGGACTGGTGCGGATCCGAGGAGAGACTCACATGGGCGAAATGTGTAATTAATTGTGAATGATCCACATGTTGCCATGCCCTACCTTCAGCCGGGACCAAATTCCATTGATCTAGTCTTCCCCGTAAACATGGAACCATAAACGGAAATAAATGGAACCTCTCCTTTGCTTTGAGGCGCCTCTCAGTCACGAAACCCACCTCCCAGTCCGATTTGTTGGAACGGGGGTCCAGAAAAAAGCCTTGCCCGGGGAGGTTGGCACCTGGGTCCAGCTGGTGGTTGGCATCACCGTTTTGGGCCATTACCCTCAGGCGATTCCACGGACGCTGCCACCGAAATGGAAGATGTGGTTCCATTTAGAGGCCTTCTGGGAGAACCAATGTTAGTCTGAGGGAGTCTTTGCTTCTAGCACCCCCCAAGCACCGCTCTTTGCAGAGCACTTGGAAGAAAACACAGCTGGTGCGGGGTGCTGGATTGAACATGGGTTCCAAACTCCGGGGAAGATTAACTCACTTCCTGAAATTGGTCAAAGCCAAGACTTGCTGTTGACCATTCGAATGGGGCGTCAAAATAGGTGGACCCCAAACAAGAAGACACCGTCACCTACACCTTCACCTTCTCGTTCAGTGTCAACAACAGCAAAAAAACTCTTTGCGGGCGGTTGATTTGGAGGAAGAAGAAACAATAGAAAGAATGGGGAAGGCAAGTGCAGCTAGGATCAAGGCGTTACCAAGTAAGAACCTACCATAACCTACCCTCGCCGAGTCGCACAGCCCCCACCCCGCCAGCCCAGCTGCCCATCCTGTCTTGAAGTAATGCACTCCCACTCCTGCTCGTCCTGCGCTATCGGTTCTGGCAATTCCACCAAGGCTTGCATAAGCATGCCTCAACCAAAGGTACCCTCAAACCTCCAAAAATACAAACAAAAACATGTGGCCAAAAAACATCCCCCAAGCACGCACATCATGGAAAACCACCCGTTTTCCTGAAAAACTAAACAAGCACCTCAACCACCTCAACCCACCTCAAACAAGGCTAAACTAAAACCTCAAAGAAACAATACGGCGGCCTCCTTCAGCACACCTCAAAGGAACCCTCAAAACCAGGGACACCCGTCGACCGTCGACCCATCTCTGTACCCCAAAGCAAGATCATATTGTTCATTCGTCCACCCTAAAAGGTGGGTGTGGTGTTTTTAATTGGAGGCCCTTTGGGTGATTGGTTGACATTGTTTAGATTGCGATGCGTGTCCACCACCTTTGAGGTGATTCCCAAATAAAATAATCAGAGCCAGGTGTCTTCTCACCGCCAAACATAAACGGGGCTTCGGAACGTGACGTCACAACCGAAACGTGAGTTCGCCCACATATTTGCCCAGCAAAGTCTAAATTTCGTTTGGGCTTGCCTTTTTTGAGGACTTTGTGGTTTAAACAGATGGTGGTTTTCATGTTGGTTTTCACAAAAAAAACCTCCAAACGCGAGATCCCTCAGCAGAAAACAAACACACACACACCTATGTTGGGAAACACACACCTATCTTGGGTATTTCAGAAAACCAAACACACATATATATATATATATAATATAAATATATAATATATATATATATAATATACATAATACATATCCGCCGACATTGCTCGGCGTGTCGGATACCTAAGAGAGGACTATTGGATACCTAAGAGAGGATAGAGGATAACCCCCCCCTTAGTCCCCCCCCCGGGACACGTCAAATACGCATGGTTTTTCGGTCGCCACCCCCCCCCTCCCCCGCGTACCGCGCGGCAATTTGATGACGTTCCACTAAACGTAGTCTTCGGGGAGCCGGTGTCGCAAAACAGGGGTCCCAGGCTCGATTCCCCCTGCCGGCTTTTTTGCTGGCTTGGGCTTCCTACATCCTTTTGCCAAAAATCTGGACAAACTCCATGTTTTTGGACGTCTTTCATACATTCATCCATTGCATTCATTTCATACATTACATTCATTACATTCCTTACATACATTACATACATACATACATACATACATACATACATACATACATACATACATACATACATACATACATACATACATACATACATACATACATACATACATTACATACATACATTACATTACATACATACATACATTACATACATACATACATACATACATTACATACATACATTACATACATACATACATACATACATACATACATACATACATTACATTACATTACATTACATTACATTACATTACATTACATTACATTACATTACATTACATTACATTACATTACATTACATTACATTACATACATACATACATACATACATACATACATACATACATACATACATACATACATACATACATACATACATACATACATACATACATACATACATACATACATACATACATACATACATACATACACATACATACATACATACATACATACATACATACATACATACATACATACATACATACATACATACATACATACATACATACATACATACATACATACATACATACATACATACATACATACATACATACATACATACATACATACATACATACATACATACATACATACATACATACATACATACATACATACATTACATACATACATACATACATACATACATACATACATACATACATACATACATACATACATACATACATACATACATACATACATACATACACACATACATACATACATACATACATACATACATACATACATACATACATACATACATACATACATACACGACAGACAGACAGACAGACAGACAGACAGACGGACAGACAGACAGACAGACAGACAGACAGACAGACAGACATACACACATATATATATATATGCATACATACATACCAGAGAGGGAGATTGGGCATAGAGAGGCTTGGGGGGATGGGGAGGATGGGGAGCAGAGGGAGGGAGAGAGGACGACAGAACAAACAAGGGAGGCAAGGGAGAGAGGCAGAAGGAAAAAAGGGAGAGGACAATGTCGGCGGACTGAGCCGGAGGCTGTAAAGTATATATATATATATATGTAAAAACAAGGTGAAAATCTATTTGGCCGCTTCGGAGCGCCTTATTTTCTTGAGCCAAAACATGTCAGTAGTCTCAACTGTATATGACAACATGCGTATTGGGCTACATATTTCAACACTCCTCCTTGCTGGAGGGTGCTTGATCACCCGCACAGCAACTATACAGTGCGGTAGTCGGAGCCTGGACCAGGGCCTTACGAATCTAGAAGACTCATCTGGCCTTTACTCTTGCTTTGAAGAAACACAAATCCGGAACGATTCATTGTGTCCTTCATTTGGACTCCGGGCACTGACTTTGTCAGCACATCAGACCTGTTCCGCTTGCCTGGTATGTGTTCTACCTTTAAATGGTTCATCGCCACACGTTCCTGTAACCACAGATAACGAGTTTGAATGTGGCGTGCCTTTCCCAGGCCTACTCTATTAACCGTGCCTTTGGCTGCGGTTGCATCAGACTCTACTAGAACCTCTACCTCAACTCCAAAGTCTTGAAGGAGGGATTGAAGTCCTAATCCTACAGAACCGCCTTTCACTAAAGCGTAATACTCACTCTCTCCAGTGCTCAATGCTATCGTCGACTGGACGTTGCTTGAGTGCTTCAGTGTATGGCTACCATAGAGGGCAACCATGCCTGTAGTGCTTCGCCTAGTGACAGCGTCTCCTGCATGGTCAGAATCAACCTGTATACGGACCTTCGAGGGTTTGGCTTGTCTCCCAAACACTTGACAAAGATCAGGATACTTCAGCAAATACCTGCACAGTCTCTTCAGGTCTTGCATCGCCGCCTCGGTCGGGGTGACCATCTTCCTTGAAAGATTCTTCACAGCGTGCGAAAGATCAGGACGATCTTGACTGAGGTACGCTGCTCGCATCACACTCGACCTATAAAGTGAAGCTGCTTCTCGTGCAACGGAGGGCTGTTAGCCTCCAAAAGCTGCTGCTCCACGGACTTCTTGATGTCTGGGGTCTCAGTGCCCTTCGCGTTCACCATTCCCAGATGTCTCACCAAAAGTTCCACATGACGGCGGTCAGGTTCCAAGAAAACCGCTGATTGGCCTTCGTGCATGCCAATGCGGATCAGACGATTCAAGAAATGTGCTGCGCGATCATCTCCATCCTCGTCTCCCAGCATTCCGAGCCGTTTCAGCTCGTAGGCACTCCTTAGAGTGGAATCCAGCTCATCCAAAGCTTCTTGATCACCAAGCGCAAGAAAGTCGTCTCCATGAACCAACACTCTGCACCCTGTGCCCGGCTTGTAAAAGCAGGAGCCATTGCTGCGGCCACGCTGAAACCCATGCTTCAAAAGAAGTTGGGTATAATGGTCTTGCCATATTGCTGGCGCGTCTTGGCAACCATACATGCTCTTCTCCAACAAACCACAGAAGCCTTCTTCTGCGTCTTCTGGTGGAAGCTCCACATATATGCGTCGCTTCGGAACTCCATAAAAGTGCGCTCGTTATGTCCCAGAGACCGAGTTTCAGTCTCCGGCCCTTGGCTGACACCCGGTCTGTTGCCCAGGCACTCAGCAAGTAGCGCATTGCCTCCAACGGTGGCGTTGACGAGAACAGGAGGTTCTGCGGCAACTGTTCTTCCGGCTTCTTAGCTGCCTTAATTTCACGGGCAACTAATCTAGACCGGTAGTTGGGCTTTTCAGGATCTCCTTTGTTCGTGTCTAACCATCTCACCGTGATTGGACGAAGTCCCTCTGCGTAGCATTGTGTTACCGGCACCTTCCGGTAAACTCCTTGCTTCTTGAAGTAGTCCATCTCAAGAGTTCTGGCCTTCTTAACTTCTTCCGCTGGTAGAAGTCCTCCATTCACATCATCCCAGTACTCTTCAATGTAGTCTGCTGGAACAAAAGGTTCCTCACAGATTGGCCCTGATGTATTCGACTCCATTGAGTTAAGCTCACCCTTCTGTACAAGATAAGCTTTGACTGTCCGAAGGACAGCTTTGACCAGCGCAGGTGGGTACCTGGCGGCCTGTTTGGCAATTCCACCAATAAGGTGTACATGCCTGTGCCAGGGATCTTTCCCTGCCTTGTTGCTGCACTCACCTTCCAAGAGCTCAGCAAGCTCCCGGCTGTTAGTGAGCCAACCGGTCTCCTTTCTCACATAGCCTGTGCCTTGAAGACCACGGCGGTCTGTCGCCATCATCTCCCATCGGCACATCGGCCCTCGGACCAAATATGTGTCCGGGCGATCCGTCAGTTCCTTGACTTCAGGATCTTTCCACGAAGTGGCACTCCAGGGCGCCTCGTGTAAGAACAGGCGTCCTGCATCCAGCTGCTTCCTATAGAAGCTGCATGAGTTGTGCAAATGCTCCAGTGCTTTATCCATACGGATCTTACGTTGATCCGGGCTGACCCTGTACTTGTTGATGTTCTGCAAGTGGCTGAATTGATCACACGGCGGACTCCCAGTCAGTAGTACTGGTTCGTCGCGATCAATCAGTTGGTTTACGGCCTCGACGTCTTCTGGCCTGCTAAGGTCCCAGAACGAACCGTCGAGTTTAGCCTCCTCAAGGTCAACTGCGAAACCAGGCTTTAAACCAAACCTGCTCGCCTCCTTAGAGAATCTTGCTGGACTGTACACTTCCATGATGTGTACTGCGCTTAGCTCGCAGCTTATGTTGGCTAGAGTCTCAATTTCCACTGACGAGATCTCTACCTCCTGCTGCTCATAGACCTGCTTGATTCTCCTCTCGATCATCCTCTTCACCACCTCCTTTGCCCTGCTCAAAGACAGTCCTCCCGCGTCCGGGGGCTGC